AGTGTAAGAGGCCTCTGGGACAACATCAATCATATCAACATTCTCAACATTGGGAACCAGAAGAAGAGAGAGCAAGGAAGTGAAAACCCATTTGAAGAAATAATGACGGAAAACTTCCTTCACCTGCCAAATGAAATAGACATATAAGCCCAAGAAGTGCAGAGAGTCCCAAACAAGATGAACCCAAAGAGGCCCATACCAAGGCACATCATAATAAAAATGCCAAAGGTTAAAGATAGAGGAAAACTTAAAAAGCAGTTACTTACCTAAAAAGGAACTATCATAAGACTGTCAGCTGACTTCTCAACAGAAACTTAGCAGGACAGAAGGGAATGGCATGCAATACATTACTCTACCCAGCAAAGCTCTCATTTAGAATTGAGGGAGAGATAATGAGCTTTCCAAACAAGAAGAAGCTAAAAGAGTTCGTCACCACCAACCAGTATTATATGAAATGTTAAAGGCTCTTCTTTAAGAAGAAGGAAAGAAGATACAAAAAAACAGAGAATAAAATGTCAAAAACAACATAGCTATCAACAATGACTTCAAATGTAAATTGATTAAATGCTCCAATCTGAAGACAGGTGGCTGAATAGGTAAGAAAACAAGATCTTTACATATACTGCCTATAAGAGACTCACTTCAGATTCAAAGACACACAGTCTGAAAGTAAAGGGATGGAAAAGATATTTCATGAAAATGTAAACAAACAAACAAAAAAGCCGGGGAGCAATACTTATATCAGACAAAATAGACTTTAAAACTAAAGGCTGTAAAAATAGACAAAGAAGGACCACCAATTCCACTTTCAGGTATTTATCCAAACCAACCCAAAACACTAATTTGAAAAGATGTATGCACACCTATGTTCACTGCATTATTTACAACAGCCAATATATAAAAACAACTAAGGATCCATCAACAGATGAATGGATAAAGAAGTGGTGCATGTATACAATGGACTATTTCTCAGCCAGAAAATAAATGAAATTGTGCCACCTGCAACAACATGCTACATGAAATAAGTCAGACAGCAATAGACAAATACCACATGACTTCACTTATGTGTGGACTCTAAAAAACAAAATAAATAAATAAATAGACATAGACTAAGAGGTACAGGGAACAAACTGATGTTTGCTAGACTGGGGGTCGGTGGGAGATAGAGGGGCTGGGTGAAGTAGATGAAGGGAATTAGAAAGTACAAATTGGTGGTTATAAAATAGTCACGGGCATGTAAACGGCAGCACAGGGAATACAGTCAATGAGACTGTACTAGTTATTTATGGTGTTAGATGGGTACTAGATTTAGCAGGGTGATCACTGTGTAAGTTATGTAAATGGCTAATAATTATGTTGTTATGGAAACTAATATACCATTGTATGTCAACACTAATCGAAAAGTAAAAAATTATTCTGAAAAAGATAACTGGCATCTCTGAGCCTGACATTCTTCTTCTGCAAAGTGGGGATAAAATATAACTACCTCATGGGATTGTTGGTCAACTGAGCAAGCAAGTGAATGTAACACATTGTGAAGAGCACCCAGCACACAGTACACACCGGGTGTGTGATCAATAACTGAAAAGCATGAGCGCCTTCGAAGGCAGAGCTGCCTTGGTCTTCTGACCGGGACATCACACCCTGGGGCTCAGGACAGTGACCCAAAGTAAGTGCTCAACAGATCATGGTTGAAACAAACTGTACTGGTATAAAAGGGCTTCTTTAAAACCAGACTGCCAGGCCCTCAGGTGACAGACATAGTCAAAATAGCGTAGTGAGGGATTTATGCAGAATGCTCACTGTAACACTGTGTACAAAAACACCTAAGTGTCCATCTACCGCAGGGCGACTGGTTAAAATAATTACATATATTCATACACGGGGACACTGTGCAGCATTTATAAAGAATAAAGTGGCACGGTATGGGGTAATGTGGAAAGATCTCCAAAATACCTAAGTGTGAAGGGCAAGAGTAGAGTGAAATGAACAAGAATACACATGCATATGACATTCATGTGTGAGTTCGCTGAAACTTTGTACTAGAATCTGTAACTGTGGTTACCGACAGGGAGGAAGGGAAGCAACCTGGACTTAAACATGTTTAAGTTCTTTACCACAGGAAGTGTTCCATCATGCACACTTATTACTCTTACTTATGAACGGTGAAGTGTCCTGTGCTGTTGCAGTACAGTTTTCCTCTCTGGAACCAGGACAGGCTGAGAGAAAAGCAGTTTGAGCAGGGAAAGCGATGGTGAGCGCCTGGGAAGGGAGTAAAGCGGTTTTACCAGCAAACCTACTGGTTCACTGAGGCGGCCATTCAGGACCAGTCATGTGTGTAAATAAACAGTATCGGAGCCGATGCTGATGGAGAACTTACATGTCAGACACCATGCTCAGCCTTTCCAACTAGCATCTCATTTCATCTTACCTATAAGGAGGCACGGTTATTATCTTCATTTTCCCAAAGAGAAATGGAGATGTGAGCATCAGGCAACTCACAGGAGGGCACAGAGCTCAGCCACAGAGGGGCTGAGAGTCAAACTCAGCAGAGCCACAGCGCAGCCAGCGCGCCTGCACGTCCAGCAGACAGCAGCCACCACGAGGGGTGGCCCAGGGGGTGCAAAGGCAGAGGGAGCTCTCAAGAATCTATCCAGCCCCGTTCTTATCACACCACCTGGCGTTTAATAAAAACTGCGTGGTGCTTTCAGCTTATAAGAGTCAACATCATAGACTCCAGTCAGTTCCAAAAATGATGAGCCATCTCGCCTGGTAAGGAAATTATACAGCCAAAAGGTCAAACACTAAAGAACACTGCCGTCAAATGCCTTCAAAATGGAGCGGATTAATCTTGGGCAGAAGAAAATTTCAACTCCCAAACAGCTAAGCAACATTCACAGAAAGACCAGGTCATGTGAGGCGATCAGATATTTTTTGAAAAACCTTTCTCTGTTGCCACATACCAGCAGGTCGTGCTAACAATTTTTCAGTTATATCTAGGATATTCCTTTTGAGGTTTCCAGGAAAGATGTGGGGTGTGGAAGTCACACTGAGCTGGGTTGGTCCCTGGCTCTAGTATTCTGGAACCAGCTGTACAACCTTCCAAAGGCACAGCCTCGGAGGAGGTCCTAGGTGCTACCTGTCCTCAGCATCCCCTCCACAGCGTGGTGGTAACAGCGACCTCTGCCAAGCAGTCAAATTAAATGGGAAAACACAGTGATTCCACCTATGGACCCGCAACAGAAACACCTCAATAAAATGAGTTTATTTTCCCTTTTCCCCAGACCATTTGTCCAACCCACATGCCTTTCCTTTTCAACTCAACACTCTTTGGCTTTGCACAACCACTCTCTCACCCTGAACCTCTCCAGAAATGTAAATGGATGTTTCCAGTTTTTATTTTAGGGGACTCTAGCTCCCCAGGAGGGCATAAGGACTGATTTCAGAAAAGGACTATTCACTTGCTGCTAACCAAGGTGGATTCACATTTGCTCTGTCCTTAGCCTTGAATTTTTAACCAGACTCACATCCCTAAGACAGCATGTTGAAGAGGCTCCGGCACTTCTCCCGCCCTCGCCTCACTCCGAGTCCTTAATGAACCCTTCTTGCTTCAGGCTTTCTGAGATTCCTCTCCCAGCCCCAAACCACCAGGAAAGTAAGACAACTGATCATTAGCAATACTCAAAGGAAATATTCCTGAGTTCACAATCAGGAATTTGACAATCATCTAAACACTGTCCAATGTATGCTCACAATTTGGAAATGAGCAGCAGGTACAAAGAATATAAAGGCAGGATCAGCACCCAGACTCACAGAGGCTACTCTCACAGAAAAGCCACAATGTCCCTAACAAAAGTCAGCTTCGTACTTATCCTTTGTTTTTAAGTCTAATCTTGAAAATGCCCCCGTAATTGTCCAATAAATCCAAATGTTCAGAGTTCATAAAGATACACCATAATAATTTGACCAAATTAATTTGACCTAGTTAATAGCATATTATATCCTCCTGTCTCAAACAGTAACACTCAGAAGAGCAATCAAGCTGTAATATTGCTTTCAGAAAATGTAAGTTTAATTTTCCCCCACATTTGGTTTTGACCTTGCAATCTCACTCGTGGTATCTCATCCTATAGACATGATTCCACTTGTGTGCAATGATTTATCTCCACACTACTCAATGTAATAGTATTCTGAAATATTAAAAATATTTATCAAAGGGAGCTAGTTAAATAGTTATAGTATGCCCACACAAAGAGAGCATACAGCCACTTAAAAAAGAAAACAAGAAGTGCTCTGTTACTGAACTGCAAAGATTGTAAGACACACTGTTGAATAAAGTTGCATGCATGCATTATATACTACCTGTTGTGTAAAACAGGGAAGAAATAAGAACACACACATAAAACACACACATGTATTACACACACACACATATTTACATAAAGAAATTTCATAACAGTAATCAGAAAGTAAGAACATTAGTTGTAGTATTGGAAGGAAAACGAAATGAAAATTAGGCAGGTGGTAACCGGTATATGGAAGAGATTAGTTAATGGACATTGTAAATATTTTTCTTTATAAACCATGTAAATGTATTATCTACCTGAAAAACACATTAAAATTAATTAGTAGTAAAAATGGCATTCCATTCCTTTCCATCGAGATGAAAACAACACTCCCTAAAGGTCCCATTTTGTGACTGATCGAGTCTTCTTCCCCTTCCTGCTAATACCACACATGCCCATATTGATAAACAAAACACACATATTTAAATTAATAAATTAAATCAGAAAACTTGTAGAAGAAGAAAATACCACAAAAACTAACTACTTTTAAAGAGCTACACGAAGCCTAGTCCACATATCTTATTATTCACAGTAGGGTGACCTGCAATCTCCTCTGGTGTGTAGACCTCACTAGTGCACACAGCCCTTCTGCCCCGATGGCCTGGGTCCCCTGGGGGCTGGGGAGAGGTGTCCTCACTGCCGGGGGCAGCTCACCTTCATAGGTGCCGACCTCCAGGAGAGTCCCGCTCTGCTCGAGGTCCAGGAACTCCTTCACAGTCAGGAAGTTGTAGTCCACGCCGGGCACTTCTCCTTCCCTGGGAGAGCGGGTTGTGCCTGCAGCAGACAAGACAAAGGCACAAGAAACCATCATTCAACTAGAACAGGAAGTGCCACATCCAGGTGTAATTAAAATAACCTGTTCAGTCAGCCGGCGTACCCGAGACTTTCAGACCGATCTGCCCAGACAGGGACCTGGTGAAGACAACTTCTTTCTAAGAGGAGCGTCCCCACCTCCACCCACCCGTGCCTGGGACTCGCAGACAGGAGCGGAGAGAAACAGGCACAGCCAGGTAGCCCAGGGAGAGTTCATCCTTTTAAAAATGCAGTGAATGAAGAAGGTGAACTGGATTTTATACAGAAAGCGTCCATAATCAGCAGCTTTGAGGATTCTGGTAACTACTAAAACGTTATCCACCTTAAGCTCAAAGCCTCCGGGGTTTATATTTTTATCACAGGTCTTGAGACTCTTGTGTTCCTCAGTACATCCGGCAAGTTCCAATGTAATGAGCCCTTTGCAGAAAACGGCACCCACCACATAAACACAACCCTGGGGAAACCCGATTGCCCAGGACCTGCGCTTGGATATCTCCCAGGGACTGAATAATGCGCTGCTCTCCGTGTAATTAATATGTTGGGTAAAAAGAGGCCATCCACAGTTCCGACTAGAGGGAAAGGACACTATATTTTGCTAAAAAATTCTCCCCCTGATTTAAGCTGGTTATTCTCACAACAATTAACAAATAGACCAATGCCTCTTATGAAATAACCATATCGAGCCCCTAGCGCAGCCGTGGGCAAAGTACGGCCCGTGGGCCGGATCCGGCCCGTTTGAAATGAATAAAACTAAAAAAAAAAAAAAAGACCGTACCCTTTTATGTAATGATGTTTACTTTGAATTTATATTAGTTCACACAAACGCTCCATCCATGCTTTTGTTCCGGCCCTCCGGTCCAGTTTAAGAACCCATTGTGGCCCTCGAGTCAAAAAGTTTGCCCACCCCTGGCCTAGCGCATGTGAGTCACCAGCTCAGGTGCTGGCTGTGGGCCTATCATCTTAGTGGAAGCTCAACGAAGCAACGTGGAGATGTGTGGTTTAGACATAAGCCAGGAAAAGAAAATAAACCAAGATGCAATTATGTAGTGTGTACCAGGAAACCATATTAAGTATTATGAAACACCAACAAAAGCAAATGATTTCGGCTCCCACCTTCAAGTTAGGGGATGTAGCTGACATAGCTCATTTTGAAAGGCCCTGTCACCCACACTGCTTAGCAGACCAGTGTTTTCCTATACCATGAGCAGGGATTATCCCCTAGTCCTAGGAATGTGAAAGCTACTAAATTACCAACTGCATGCACCTGGTGGCTCGCATGTTCCCAGCACAGTGCAGTCTCTGATCACATGTGACTGACCATATCCACACGCCTGCGGTGCTATCCAGAATGTCCTTCAGTTAAAAAAACCAACACATCTGCATGTTTTACTCAAGATAAGTGCATTTTTATATGAGCCCAATTTTCCTAGTATCTGAAATCCGAGTGTTTTGAATAGCTGCGAATTTTCCATAGGATGATTATATTACAAATCTTTGCTTATCACCCAGCATGCTGCGCTGTCTGGTAGAGCAGCCTGCTTGTGGAGTGTCCAGAAGTCCACTCTTGTACTGTTTCCTAGTTGGTTCCATTTCTGGCTCCCCTGGCATACAATGACAAGTCCCTTGAGGGAGCTCACAACTTTTCAATGTATATCTCATGTCAGGCCCACAGCAGGCACTCCAGAAACACCAAGAATATCACATGGTGTTGACAAGCAGGGGTCTGGAGTGAGCAATGGGCTCATGGTCTAGCTCCCCAGGTTGTGGTGTTGGGCAAGTTCCTTAGCTTCTGCTATTTTTCAGTTTCTTCATCCACAAAGTGGTGATCACAATAGTACCCCCACCATAGGTGTATTGTGTTTACTGCATGGGATGATCCATTTAGAGGACTTAGCTCAATGATCATTAGCAGATATTATAGTTTATAAACAATAATATAGTTATTGTTACAATGAAATGAGTTAATAAAATCTTAGAGTTCAAATGATTTATACATTTACCATTATATAGATTCTTACATTCCATTTATTTATTAAACTAGAGGCCCAGTGCACAAATTCATGCACCAGTGGAGTCCCTCTGCCTGGCCTGCGGGATCTGGCCAAAACCGGCTCTCTGACATCCCCCAAGGAGTCCTGGATTGCGAGAGGGTGCAGGCCAGGCTGAGGGACCTCACTGGTGCACGATTGGGGCTGGGGAGGGTTGTGGGAGGTTGGCCCAGCCAGGGAGGGACTGCGGGAGGGGTCCAGGGTGTGTCCAGCCCATGTCGCTCAGTCCTGATCAGCCAGACCCCAGCAGCAAGCAAAACTACCAGTCAGAGCGTCTGCCCTCCTGGTGGTCAGTGCACATCATAGTGAGAGGTTGAGCAGCCTTAGCATATCATCAGCATATTAAGCTTTGATTGGTTGAACAGCTGACCGGACGACCGGACACTTAGCATATTAGGCTTTTATTTTATAGGATATTTACTGAGGTCCCAACAGATGCCAGGCACTAATTTAGGGCCTGGGAAACACTCATGACCAAGACAAAGCCCCTACTCTAATGGAACTTACATTTTACTATGAAAGATAGAAAGCAAATATGGATGTGAAGAGATACAGCATTTAATTTCAAGAGGGAATAAGTCTTTTGTAGGAAACATAGGTTAAAGCAGTGGTTCTCAACCTTCCTAATGCCGCGACCCTTTAATACAGTTCCTCATGTTGTAGTGACCCCCAACCATAAAATTATTTTCGTTGCTACTTCATAACTGTAATTTTGCTACTGTTATGAATCATAATGTAAATATATGATATGCAGGATGTATTTTCATTGTTACAAATTGAACATAATTAAAGCATCGTGATTAATCACAAAAACAATATGTAATTATATATGTGTTTTCTGATGGTCTTAGGCGACCCCTGTGAAAGGGTCCTTTGACCCCCAAAGGGGTCGTGACCCACAGGTTGAGAACCGCTGGGTTAAAGCATTAGAAAGTGTCTCAGAGCAACATAGGTGAAAGGGCTTGGAAATGTCTTGGAGGAAGGCGGGAGGGTGGAGAGGAAAGAAGCTACTTTAGATTGGTGATGAGGAAAAGCTGGCTAAGGAGGTGCCATCAAAACTGAGAGCCCTGCAAAGGTGATGGTGGGAAGAGCATTCCTGGAGGGGGTTCAGGTTCAGGTCTTTGATGTGGCAATAGGGTTGGCATGTTGTGGGTAGGGCAAGAAGGCCAGAGAAACTGCCGCAGAGCAGTGAAAAAGAGGTTGGAAATGAAAATGAAAGTGAGGGGCCAGGTTACGGAAACGAGAGAAAACACTTCCTGCTTTATTCTAAGGGGGATGGGAAGACAAGTGATGCCATGATTCATTTTTAAAGGATCATCTGGCTTTACAGAGTTGAACAGGCCATGAACAGAGTAGCAAGGGTCCCAATCAGGTGCCGTTACAGTGTCCAAGGGAGAGAAATCAGGGCAAGGACAAGAACACTAGGAAGCAGGTGGAAAGAAGCAATCATATTTTTATCACAAATTGTTGAGCATCTTGTTTTTTTCTTTTTTAAATCCTCACCTGAGGACACGCTTAGAGAGGAAGGGAGAGAGAGGGGAAACATCGATGTCAGAGAGAAACATGGTTTGGTTGCCTTCCATACATATCCTGACCGGGGATCCAACCCACAACCTGGGCATGTGCCCTTGACTGGGAATCAAAGCAGCAACAGGACAATGCTCAACCGACTGAGCCACTCCAGCTGGAAACTGTTGAGTATCTTAAGTAGCTGTAATGTAGTCCATAGCATAGATGTATTAAAAGTATATCAACTCATTGGGCCACGCGAGGTCTATATTTTTAAGATAGAACTTGCTGATGGAGTGGACATGATACCGTTGTAATTATCCAGTTATTAATAATAGGAAAGGAGCAAAGGGAAGCCAGATATTATAGGCATGTCATTTGGGCAGCTTCACCAGGAAGCTACAATTCTGCACTCTCCAGGGAAACACCAGCCCATTCCCTGCAGATCACTGGGAGAAGGGGTCCAACAAAGGGGAGATAGATGCATGCCCAGCGAAGTTGGGGTGACATAGGAAAAGTACTCATCTGACAGTCAAACCTGGGGAAAGAGATGCTTGATACATGCATTTGGGGATACATAATCCCCTAAACCAGTGGTCGGCAAACTCATTAGTCAGCAGAGCCAAATATCAACAGTACAACGATTGAAATTTCTTTTGAGAGCCAAATTTTTTAAACTTAAACTATATAGGTAGGTACATTGTTATTCACTTAATTAGGGTACTCCTAAGGCTTAGGAATAGCCACACTCAAGGGGCCAAAGAGCCGCATGTGGCTCGCGAGCTGCGGTTTGCCGAGCCGCAGTTTGCCAACCACTGGCCTAAACAAAGGAATCCCCTCTCCTGTTGCACTGGACTCTTGGCTCGTGGGGTCCTTGGCTCCTGCTCCCTTGCATTCACCCATGATTCCTCCAGAGCCATGCGGGCCTGTAGGCAATGGGCTGACGGACCGCAGCAGGGAGCACAGCTAAGCTAGTCCGATGCAGGATGGACACTGCTCCGATACGGAACAGAAACGCTGGACACAACGTTGGTTTTATCCCCACGGAAGCCCCAGCTGCACTCTTCTTTTTTTTTTTAATTAATTAATTAATTAATTATTTTTAT